ATTGTTTCCCTATTGACGGAAAAAGGATCTCTTTGATGCTTTTTAATCGTTTTCGTGGAGCTTGAATTGATCTAGTTCTTCGCTCACTAGGCTAGTTTGATCTTCCTTTTTTTTTGATGATAAATGCGAATCGGTTTTTGAAATTTCAAGATCTGCTATTTTTGGGTTTCTATAATGTTGGAAATTGGAGTGTGATCTAACCCTTCGTGAGTGAAAGTGGTTTCGAATTGTGTGTAGTTTTGGGTGATTGATGTATTTTGCTATTTGGTTTGGGAACAATAGTGTACTGTATTAGGACTTGAGGAGATATGATATTGCATTGTTGATTCTCTGAAATTCTTAGATCCGGGAATGGAGTCCTGTGATTTCCTTGTTGATTCTTCTGTTATGCTTACTGAAGCCAAGTTGATAATAAAGCTCCACTCTTGTGTGAAATTGTACATGTGAAAGCAAGGGGAGAGATCAAAGTAATTAAAGAAGCCGAAGCAGGAGGAAGCGATGTTTTCTCTTATGCAGGGACTGTGGAGTTACATGTTCAGCAAGACTGAGTTCCATGTGCTCATTCTTGGTATCGACAAAGCTGGAAAGACGGTATATGTTTTCCTTTTATCTTGTTTTCCGTATTTGTAACTTCAGCCCCGCGATGCATGTTGAGGATTCATCACTAATGGATTGTTCATTCTTGGGATGGTTTAGACTTTTTTGGAGAAACTGAAGACGATATACTCAATCTCTGAAGGTCTTCCTCATGATCGAATTGTTCCTACTGTTGGGCTTAATATTGGTCGTATTGAAGTCTCCAATGCTAAAATTGTGTTTTGGGACCTGGGAGGTCAGGTAAGCTGGATATGCCTTGTTTTGTACGTAATAATGCTGTGTTCCTAATCATATTCTGATGTTTTCACCCAAGCGCATATGCTTTGAGATGATATGAGAAATATAGGTTACGTGGAAGATCCTTTTGAGTTTTGAACTCCCCCCCTCTCTCTAAGTTTACACTCTTCTTTTGGAAGCTTATGCGTTTGAGCCTTTCTTGCAATTGTAGATTGTTTCTTCCTGTTGAAAACAACTATCGTTTGATTTGATTTCACAAACCCTGATTGTGAAAAAGGATCGGTCTTTCTAATCAAATAACTGTGCTTTTCCCCCCCATTGGCAGCCTGGTTTGCGGTCGATTTGGGAGAAGTATTATGAAGAAGCACATGCATTGATATATTTGATCGATGCAGCTTGCCCATCCCGCTTTGAAGATTCAAAATCTGCTCTAGGTAAGTGTGTGAACACAAGTTGACTTCAAACACCATTATGAGGCTAAAGCTAACTTATAAATTCCCTTTCACCAGAAAAAGCCCTGCGGCATGAGGATTTGCAAGGAGCCCCTCTTTTGATATTGGCAAACAAACAAGTAAGAAGTTGAACCCCCTCATTTGTTAGCTTAAATTCTCCAAAGATATGTTGTTGCTGATAGTCTTGAATCTGGTAACCGTTGAGCAGGATCTCCCAAATGCTGTATCGGCTGAGGAACTGGACCGATACCTGGATCTAAAGAAATTGGACGAAAGGGTGTACATGTTTGAAGCAGTTTCTGGATATGATGGGTAAGTAAATATCTAGCTTTAGCTACTACACACAATAATCTTATATAGCCTAATAGAAACACTCGACTGTTTTGTTGAGCAGACGAGGGATCAAAGAAAGTATAGAATGGCTGGTTGGGGTGATGGAGAGAAGCAAAAGAACTGAAACATTAAGAGCCCGTGCAGGATATGTGCCCGTGCCAACTTCCTAGACACGAGAGGACTCGCAAGCTCAATTCTCAAACCAACTGTGTGTAGATAAAAGCAGACCATAATTTAATATTGTTTCGGGCTAAGCATCAAATCACATGATGAGTAGGACTAGTAGTAGTAATCTACCTTATTGTATTGCCCTTTAAATCCTTATCAATGTTTATGATTCAATTGAGAGATTTTGAAGCAATAATAATTCCGTCCTGTACTGCAAACAATAATGATGTATTTGATCATTGAAAAGAAACAACAGAGACAAGATAGTTTTCTCTTCTTTGTATCTTTTTCAAGACAGGAAGGAAACAAGCAGAAGAAGTAAGAAGCAATTGGAGACCTAATTTGTTCCTGAAATAAGAGGCTTCGGCCTTGTCTTGAACAAGATCTTTGTGCGTATAATCCCTACAACTTGTAGTTCCGTTGCATTCTCCGACAAACCATCCCTACACTTCTTCAAAACCAACAATGGCTTCTTCAGAGTCACCTTAGAGCCTATGAGTTGATGGTAACCAACCGTGAACGTGTAGGTTTCCTGCGCCGGTTGAAACAAACAAGTCATCAACTCCGGTAAGAAGGAAGAAGAGGAAGGTGAAATCAGTTAAAGAAACAAAACCTGAGAGGAATCGGAGTGACAGAGACGACCGATCTCGAGATTGTGAAGAGAGCCTTGAAACGAAGACTGAGTCTCGACCACTCCTTGGAGTTCTACGATCGTCCACTCGCTACACTCTTCTTCCCCACACCCACACTCCACGCGAATCTCCATCTTCTTCTTCGATTTCGATGCGTCACCGTATATGTACATATTAAAAAGTTTTGGCGGAAAACACCAAAATCTTTCGCGGGCTTTTTGGGTGAAATGACGTCACCATCATCTGGTCTCTCAAATCAACAAATTTGATCAATTCTGCTTAAAACTTGAGTTCATCTGACAGTACAGGGCATAAAAAAACCTAATCTTTAAACAGACACCATAGAAACAGAAAAGCTTCCATTGTTACAAGATCACTGGTTAGGAATTCTTTTTGAGTTTCCAAGTTCTGTCCATACACAACAAACTAATACAATATGTATTCACAGAACAAGGCCTAAGCATATAAAAGAAAAAGAAGCTAATCATCAAGGCCTAGGCATTTTCTCATGGATCTTACATTCCATGGCTTTTATCATCAAAACCCCTAAATCCAAACCACTACGTTGTTACTGTAGTTGTCATTAGTCCTTGAAGAAAGATTGTGTGACCCTTACTTCCCCAGATTTTCCTACACTCTTGTTCTTCATGTTATTATTACTACACTCTTGAACCAAATTATCGCAGCTGCTTTGTCTACCTTTCTCTTCTTGCGTTGCTGCTGTAATTGTCATCTCCTCGGACTTTGCTTTCGCATCTGGTTCATCTAACCCAACTGGGATTACCCCTGTCAAGGTTTTTATAGCAAAGTCGATACACGGGTCTTTCCAGATATCAGCACCCGATAATTCGCTTGAAAATCCAGACCCCGTGTTAACTTTACTGGGCGTCTCTGGGAAAAAGGCAATTCCTTCCTGCTTGGCATGATTGTTCTTGGGATCAGAAGAGATTGCTGTTGCTGTTGTGTTGGGAAGATGCAGCGATTCTCCCGTCAGTGTTTTGATAGCAAAGGCGATGCAAGGATCTTTCCACAGATCTGCAAGAGTCGAGTCAAATGCGGAGGAGAAGCCGCTGGTATTCTTCTCCATCACTTCTGAGCATGTGCCTCTAACAACAGAGGGTTTCGATGAATCATTGCTTAATTTATTTATCCTATGAATGGCATTGCTGTTATCAAAAGGATGCTCGCCTTTATTTAATGATCTCAAAGGCGAGATCTCAGTTGCTTTCAGACTAGTAACTTTATTAGGCGACCATCCCAATCTTTTCCCTGGTGCTGTCTTCTCACGCTTTGTTGCAGAAGTTTGGCGAGACAATGGTGACACCGGCGACATTTCTTCGTTCGGTTTGTAACCCTCAAGATGAAAAACTGGATTCAGTTCGAACTCAGATATCACCAGTGGCTTTTTCATTTTCTTCTTGTCTCCAGAGCCATTTCTGCCTACTGGTTTACTGATCTTTTCTATTTGCACTTCCATTTCTGCACTCACACCATTGTTGCTTTTAGCAGCAGCATTTGGTTTTGGAGATGAATGTTCATTATAGCTTTTGGCAACTTCCTTATTGAGGGGTGTATCCGTCTTCTTCAAACCGCCGATAGCAACAGGATTCACAGGTTGCGTGCACTTTCCGGCCGTGCTATCATCAAGAGGTACAACTCGTTGAGCTTTGGTTCTTGTCTTCAGTTCAGGCGTCGGTTCAAGCTCAATACCAGCTAATCGTTTAGATGCTCGTCGGGTTACACTATTACTTAGCTCATTCTTCTTCACTTTAGCTTTACTCCTAGTGATCCCTTTTTCAGTAGAATCTTGTACCCCTTCCTCCTTCATAATAGATTCCTTCTCTGGATCTGGTGAACTTGCACTGCTTAATCCTGATTTTGTAGAATCTGCAAGTATAGAAAACATCAAAAATTGGCATACTGAAAGAAAATTAGTTATCTCAGCCTCACTCGGGTCGAAAATTAAGTCGGGTATCTACTTTACCTTTTTCTGGTATTCCATTCGATGAAGACAGGTTTTTCCTTTTTAAATTAAGGTCTTCCTCGTTTTTGCTCAGTTTAGCTTGGCTCCTAGTAATCCGTTTCGTTACAGGCTGATTTTCGATAGGATCTTTCGCCTTGTCCTTCTCCAAATCCTCAAGGACTTGTGAGGTTACATTGCTCAAATCTGAATTCAACTCGCCTGCAATTATAATTGAAGGTTGATATTTAACATTGCTCACTGCAAAGAATGTTTATATACACTGGCAAAATCTGGAGCCAAAACTTACAATTCTCGGGATGTTCATCAGAAGAAGATAAGTTTCTCCGTTTGCTGCTTCTGACACAAATATTTATCTTTTCCTCCTTTTCCACAGACTCCAAAGGAAGCTAAAAGCGGAGAGAGAAAAGTTAAATTGAAAAGATCATCAACGATTCCGCTATAGAGCATTCCATATAAACTAAAAATACCAAAGAGGAAAAAGGAACTCACAGGGGTCTTTCCATTTACAGAAGCGTCATCTTCAATAGTGTTTTCCTTCAGTTTACGTGCATGATTTCCAATACGGCCAGTCTCGACATATCTTGATGCATCTCTGAAGGATTGAAAGATATATTCACTTTTAGGGTCAATGAAGAACTGCGAAAAAGATCAGGCATTTCCAAGAACCACATTAGAGATTTTCCAAGAATTGAGCATGTAGTTGTAGGAGAAAATATCGAATATGTTCTTCTGAGATCAAAACTAAGAAAAGCTGTAAAAAAAACGTAGAGGGTACGAACTGGATCTCTTCTAATTTTACGGCCGGTTCTGTTTGTTATTACGAGCTTCTTGATCCATCCTTCAGGTAAGCCTTCGGCCGCAGATTTCTCAATTATAACCTGTATCACTTAAACAGAAAGACTTTTTCCTTTTAAGATTCGTTCAAATGTCAAAATTCACAAAGATTAGAAACAACATTCCAAACATATAAACAACAGAAAACACTCCGATATTCTGTGCTTATGAACTTTCATGTACAATCTGATACCAGACCTTTCCCAATATGAATATAATTTCTTCTCAAGCTTCTCATCGCACAAGTCAAGAGGTAAAAGCTTTTACAGCTTAAGGGTTCTACAGTTTTCTCTACAAGATGGTGTGATAGGTTACTTTACAAACCAAACTCATTTTCACAAAATCCTATTACTCTAACCATCTCAGCTACTTCTTTTTCAAAAGAGGCAAAGTGATACAAATCTTTACAAACTCAAGACGACTTTCAGAGGTTATATCCAATCAATTCACAAGTAAGTAGAGCATTTATTACAAAGGCACTACAAGTCTAGCCAATGTAGTAAGAAATGTAGCTTCATAACAAAGCTTTGATCAAACTACATCAATGCACTGAATTTCTACCATTTTCAGACAAGAAACACTAAAATTAATTCACTCTCTTTCTCTTTTGATCAAGTCTCTATCTTTCCCCTACAACTAAGCATTGCATGCAGGATAAAATCACTACAAAGACACAAAAGATTTCACTTTTTTCAATGATTACGGAATCATACCATCAGAAACTGAGTGTGACAAAGAGAGAGAGAGAGAATCATAGAATTTGGGCATTTCAATAAGAAAGATACTATCATTTCCACAAAAAGAGGTAAAAACAAAAGAACCCAAACATGCACAAGACAAATCC